AAGCAGAGAGGGGCATTGATAACTTAGAGCGAATGAGAGAGGGGCCGGTACCTGAGAGCCGAATCAGAGACATGGCGAAGTGTGCACCAATGGCAGGGGTAACGAGGTGTGCTGAGAGAGTGTTTTCCCTGCAGGATGGTGATGGAGAGTGAGAAAGGAGAGTTAGTTGCAAGCGCAACTTTCTCACGTAATCAAAGTATGGTCCCTTGCCCCCATGCTGCGACTTATGAGTCGACTCATATTTATCCTCTCAGGAGTCAGTTGATTTACAGGAGACCCACCATCCGGGAAGTGGGCTGAAAACTCGGCTTTTCGGTGTTATCACAGCATGCTCCCTCACCCACCAACACATTCGCAGATTCACCCCCTGACACAAGTTCCCATTCCCACCCACCATCCGGGCAGTGGGCTGAAAACTCGGCTTTCCGGTGTGATCAGGGCGTGGTCCCTTGCCACCACACTGCGAGTAAATCCGGGCAGGTCTGAAAACCAGCAGGAAAACATTACGAAGCCAGTGAGGAGAAACGTCGATTACAAGCAAAAATGAGTGCAGAAAGCAGAAACGGCAGACAAAATCACCTGAAAAAAACTAAGGTAAGTGACTCGCACCTTCCATGTGGACCGTGTCCAGGGTGGGTTCCAGAACCTTCTCATACATGCCACTTCCACTCCGTGGGCCTGACAATACGGGAAGACAGGATGTAGTGCGAAGAATGTGGATCAACTTGGACGAAGCTAACACTAGAAAGTGACGACCTTCTTTAGGAGGTGCTATATTTTTTAAACGACAAATAATGCTCCACTGGGTAGACAAAGGGCGAGGTCGCGCTTTCGTACCATCGGTAGCGGCTTCGGAACTCTGCAGGATGATTGCGAACGCGAGGGTTGACAGCGTTGCAAAAAGCTGACAGGCATGAAGAGCCTTCAACGACATGGCTTCACGTAGAGCTGGAGAATTGGCGTGGACTCTAAGACGACACGGTCCTGGGTGTGCAAAAGCAGGGTTTTGCAAAACAATCATTCGCAACAAGGAACGGGGGAGTCACGCTTAGTAGAAGCTGAAAACGAAATGGCGAGGTAGCGTTTCCTCTTTACCCCTGCTTTTTCTCAACAATCTACACTATGCGTCCAACGCCGCTGGCCTTGCGACAAGCACCTTGCCGTTAGGTGCACGTGATGAATAGAGCTTGCTAGTATACTCACTTATGAATCTGTCCGTTTGTTTTTCTGAATGGAATCAATCAATTATCAGAAGCTCTTGTGCATCTGTTGAGGGCTCGTTTCCGTAGCATTTGAACCACATTGCGGATTTGGTATTATGCATGTTACAATAAGACTTCAACATGGTGTCAGCCAGGTCACACAAATTTCCATCCCGAACTTGCTCGTGTCGGTTTAGAGAAAATCTTCGGACCTTGAGCCTTGTTCACTTCGAGGGACATCGCGGATCTTTGATGTTGTCCCCTTGTCAAATTAAGCATGCTTTGCGGTTTATAGCGTTTCGTCGTAGTGAAAAGCGGTGAAAGTCAGCAACCACATTCAAGCGTTCAAATGCGTCCCGAGCCACGAAAAATGAACCGCAAGAGTATGACACGCCCTCGGCCTCCTCTCCACATCTGCGAAAGAGGTTTCAGTCTTTCGATGTGTTTCAGTCAACATTTTCACACCTTTCAGCTCTCAGAGCATCCCCAATTGTCCTTACCATCTCCTGGCACACGACATCTGAGTGCTGGTTTCACGCCTATCATCCCTTTCAGCTCGATCACGAAAATAAAATAACCGATTACAGAAGCACGCATTGGTTTCTGCTTTTCACGTGTACCATCTGCTGGGGGAGCTGGAAAAACTAACTTCACGTCCGTCATTCACGCGCCGCCCGATTTAGATTACTCAGAAGTTCATTTTCTCAGGAAATGGGCAATCCAGGCACTGCTGCAGATGTCGAGAAGCGCATTCGTGTCATGAGGATGATGATGAAGCTTCAAGATCTAAAGCGAATAAGTAAGTCACCATCTTCAGCGGCTTATTGTATCCATGTAGATGTTCATAACTTTCTTGTGCAGTGGATGGGCTAGAGCTTTCCTCAACTGGTGGAGAAGCGAACATGACGCGACGGACAATGAGCACAGTAAGTATCACAGCAACGCTCTTCTCTAAGGTTTCCTTCTCAGCATTTCACTCAAACAACTGCATTGCAGGATACAATAATTCTACGCTTCCGGTTGTTCATGCTAGCTTCCTGGGCTGTCGCGATTCTCCTTGCAGTCGGCTATGCTTTCATATGACTGTACTACGTCAAGCACGAACAAGGCAGGTGCTTTTCAGCTGTGGCGAACTCACCTACCTACCCTGATGAATTTGCCGACATGTTTTAATGGAATATGAAAGCAGTGGCACGAAGTCATAGCCCTAAGTGTCAGGAACGATATTGTTTATGCTTCTGAGCATCACCACTTTCAATAGAAGCTCTGACCTAATGACGTTTTACAAGGTGGTGCTACCATGATCAATCTACTACACCTTGGGAGATCCAATTGGCTTGGCAGGAAGTTGCAGGACCTCCGCAATGGGCGGGTAATCATACAGCTTAGGAGGAAATCCAGCTGAGATTATTCTTGGCCCAACCAACCAGGCAGCTGCTGCACCGCCAAGCAGGCCCCCCAGGTGTCCTGAGTTATCAATGTTCCTCCAAAAAACACCCAGAACCATGTTAAACATGACTGTGGTGCCTAAGCCACGCAAATATGCTGACCCCCTCAAGCTCAGCTGCTTCTTGTGCCTCAGAAAGAACACCCCCAACGCCCCAACAAGCCCAAAAATCGCTCCAGATGCACCTACAGAGGGCGAAGGGTTGAGCACGAGGCTCAGCGCTGAGCTGGCTAATGCTGATGCCACGTAGATGCCAGCCATGCGCCGGCCCCCAAGCAGCGACTCAGCATCCGGGCCGATTGTATTCAGTGAAAGCGAATTCACTACAAGATGCTGAAGATCAGCATGAAGCAACGCGGATGAGAATAGCCGGTAGTACTGGCCCTGGCGGATGAGCGAGTTGACTTTAGCGCCGAGCAAGAGAAGGCGGTTGTTGGAGAGGATTTGGAGGAGAAAAGAGGCTGCGTTGATGGCAAGGAGAAGGTCGGTGACCTTGCGATGGGCCCTGGAACCACCAGGAGCCCAAGGCCAGATAGGACCCGTGGAAGGGGGACCAGAAAAAAAGTTATTTGGGAAGCTGTTGTTACCACCACCGTATGATCCCCCGCTAAAGGCGTTGGTGGTGAAAGGAGAACGAGATTTGTGTGATGAGGAGGGTCCAAAAGGGGGGAATAGGTGAAGAGAGGATTGCAGGCCGGGTAGGGTTGTGGAGAGGAGGTGGGGGAGGGCGAGTGGGAGGGAGCGGAGGAGAAGAGTGAGGGAGGCGGATAGTGATTGTGCGAACGGGTGAGGGGAGGAGGGAGAGGATGCGGCTGAAGGGAGAGGAACGGATTGTGAGCTGCTAGAGCCATCACCGCCGGTGACTGCTCTGCTGACGGGATCCGTACTAGCAGCAGGTCTTGTGTTGCTGCTTCTGCTGCTGCTGCTACTGCTGCTCCTCCCGCAACCTTCCACGATCTCGTCTCCTAAAACAGATCCCCCTTCGACCTCTCCCCCGGTACCCTGAAAAGACATTCTCGACTTATTCGCCCTCCTGTGCATCCGAATTCTGCTTCGCCGGGACGCAGCTCGCTGATTGGCCAACGCGCGGTGCTGCAGTAGCAGAACCGCGGGAAGAGGGCCATAGCAATTGACCACCCTGATTGACTGCGACGCTAGCCATGAAGACGGCGTACATACGCGAAACGGGGAGGCTTGAAAGGACGATGAGGCTGGTCCGCCTGGTCCGCCTGGGAACATCGTGAATGCTCCTAACTTATCCGACGGCGTGACGCTCTATTCTATCCCTTAAGTGCCTCAGAGAATCTGCTTCGATGCTGCTCGTCTCTGCTATTTCTTGCTCTGCAGATTCGCCCTTCAACTATTAAACGAGATTCTCGTGGTCATAAATCCAATCCCTTAGGTGCGGGTAAGGCGTGTTTGTATCTGATTTTCTGCTGACGCTGTTTGGATGAAGCAAAGCGCGTTACGCGAGTAGCGGCCTTACTCGCCAGGCCTAAAAGAAACAAGGCGAACACACGGACAACTGATGTCACTTGCAGGTGGTGGAATTGCTAAAACGGTGCTCGAGGTCCGACTATGAGTAGGGCGAAAACTGGCTCTGTACGATTGAGTCATATAAGCTGTGGTGCAATGTGATGAGAGTTCAAAAGTGATACTCCACTGGTTCGCTGACATCTGTGGCTGCGGACGCTACACGTGGCAGGTACACGAATTCGATGAAACTTGTACATCGATATTGGCAAAAACAGGTGTAAGATTGTTACCAGATGCGTCTCACACGAAGTTGCCCTTCGCAGAAATCCGTTCAGAGTCCGCAGATGTATTCACGGCTTCGAGGTGTTACTAGAATGTGGGATCGCCTGTGCGATTTTGACGAAATTATTCGATATAACATGCTCCACTCAAGCAATAAGGTTTAGGTTGTCAACCATGGTGGCGACCCGCAAAGTGCTTATAGTTCGCGTACACATACTAGCTCCACAGGCGCTAAGGTCATAACGTCTTTTACAACCTGCGACCACTACAAAAGCTGGCGTAACCCACGCGCCGCTTGTCGCAGCCTGGATCTCCCCACCTTCCGTGCGGCCGAGCGCGTGCGAGCGTGTGCTTGCGTTATCCTCCCCACCGACCGCCGTATTGTCCGTGCTGGTGCCGTACTGAATGCCGTATAGCCGCTTGAAGATTCAACGTCGGCCCTGCCTGGAAGTTGGTGATGTTCTTTACCGCATCGGCGCATATCGAACGCTGAAATTCTGAGTCGATTAAATATCCCTCAAGAGAACACTTCAGTGCTCGTGCTCGTTTTCAGTGCTCGTTTTTCTGACCCGTCGCTTGCCAACGTGTCAAAGCGATCAGACACGTGTTGTCGACGCGATGTTGAACGTGTTGACGGGGCTGCTGCGAGGGCGATCCGTGCCGGCTAAGGGATTTAAGTATCTAACAGCGAAGCGCGGCCCGAAGAACTATTATAAGGGGACGGGGAGTCGCACCATGGGACGACACACAAAGAAAGGTGAATGGGAGTGGAGGGGTGGGGGGGGGGGGCGGGGGAAGGTGGGTTGATGCGAGAGGAGGCGTGGGTGCGGTTGGGGGAAGGGGGGAGAGGGCGAAGGAGGGAAAAGGGGGGGGATTGAAGGTGGGGGAGGAGGAGGGCAGGGGAGAGGGGTTGGGCAGGGGGCAGGGGGGCAGGGGGGCAGGGAGGGTTGTGATGGGGGGAGGGAGGGGTTTGGGAGGGAATTGGAAGAGGGGGAGTGTGAAGAAAGTGGGCAGGGAGGGGGTTTATGTGGAGGGTAAAATGCTGAGAAGCTCCTTTGACTTGACAGGAAGAAGTAGCGCAAGGGGATAGGGAGTTTCATTCATTATGCCTTTAAGTCTGCTCAAAAGCGGGGGGTTATGGGGAGGGTAAAATGCCGAGAAGCTCCTTCGACTTAACAGGAAGAACTGGAGCAAGGGGACAAGGAGTCTCATTCCTTATGGGCTGGGCAGGTGATAAAAGTTGAGTTTTGAGATGTCTCATTTCCCCCTGCAGGTGGTTACATTCTCATGGAAGAGAAGATGCCTACATACCTGCTTACACGACTCTTTAGCCCCTCCATTAATCTCAACCGTTCATCTGATACCTTCCAACCACTCTCTCTTTCATCTCTCCCTGCACGTGGTTACATTCTCATGGAAGAGAAGATGCCCACCTACCTACTCTCATCTCTCTACCTCCAGCCAGTCATCTCAACTGTTCATCCGCACATGTGCCTTATCTCTCATCTCTCCCTGCAGGTGGTTACATTCTCATGGAAGAGAAGATGCCAACCTACCTGGTTCCAGACCTCAGTAACTTCCAGGTATTTTCCTGCTGCCTTCCACGTAACTGCTGATGCCAAACCTCTCTAACTGCCATGTAACGTCAAATCACCTCTGCGTGGTTCCTTTCCATGGCCCCTGCGATGACTCTGTCTTTGAGTCGACTCAAATACAGACTCATAACACCCAATCACCTCTGCATGGTCACTTTTAAGTCGACTCAAAAGTCACATTGTTTTCGAGTCGATTCAAAAACAGACTCATAACGGCCAATCACCCCTCTGCGCGGTTCCTTCCCATGGCGCCTGCTTGGTGAATTCTCTGATGTGTCAACCTTTCACCCCAAGCGCCCACCTCTCACATTGCCAGGCTCTTTGAGGTCGCACTCTCCACACTCTCCACACTCTCCACACTCTCCACACTCTCCACACTCTCCGCCCTCTCCACACTCTCCACACTCTCCGCCCTCTCCGCCCTCTCCACACTCTCCACACTCTCCACACTCTCCACACTCTCCTCCCTCTCCACACTCTCCGCCTTCCTCTGCCTGTGAAACTTTTGAGGCACCTCAAAGGTTTTTGAGTTTTGAGGCGCCTCAAAAGCACTCTCCACACTCTCCGCCCTCCTCTGCCTGTGAAACTTTACTTGCCTGCACCCTCCCCTCTCCCCCCTTCATGCTTTCCCTTGTTCCACCTCTTTCCCTCCCATCAGCTCAAGCCTTATGTCTCCCACACTGCACCCAAGAAACCACCTACATCTGCTACGGGGGCTGCAGCATCCGTAGCATGTGCTGGGAATTTCACCACCTTTCTTCCCTATCTTCCCTTTCCCTCTGTTCCACCTCTTTCCCTCCCAACAGCTCAAGCCCTATGTCTCCCACACTGCGCCTAAGAAACCACCAACAGCAATGTCCTCACCCCTCCATTCCCTCTCCTCACCTCTTCCACCCGCTGTCCTCCCAACAGCTCAAGCCCTATGTCTCCCACACTGCGCCTAAGAAACCACCAACAACAATGTCCTCACCCCTCCATTCCCTCTCTTCACCTCTTCCACCTCTTTCCCTCCCAACAGCTCAAGCCCTATGTCTCCCATACTGCGCCTAAGAAACCACCAACAACAATGTCCTCACCCCTCCATTCCCTCTCCTCACCTCTTCCACCCGCTGTCCTCCCAACAGCTCAAGCCCTATGTCTCCCACACTGCGCCTAAGAAACCACCAACAACAATGTCCTCACCCATCCATTCCCTCTCCTCACCTCTTCCACCCGCTATCCTCCCAACAGCTCAAGCCCTATGTCTCCCACACTGCACCCAAGAAACCACCAACTGCTGCTACGGGGGCTGATGCATCCGTAGCAAATGCTGGAGCGAGATGAGTAGGGCAAGTTAAGATGTTTGTTAAGTGACAGTTGTTACGGCACTGGGGTTTAAGCATCCACGGCAAGTGCTGGATTGGGATGACAGCGGAGTAGGGGAGGTTTGCGGTACTAGGTAAGATTAGCTGGAATAACGAGTTGAATAGTAGGAAATCAAATCAGCAACGGGTGGTGGCATGTCATTGGAAAGATGCCGTCTTGATAGCCTTGAAGGATCGTATGCCTTGGACCATGTTCGTAATGTACTGTATGATGTTTAAGCTGAAACAGACTATTCCTCACCTCATCCCCTCCCAAGCCGTTAATAATCACCCCAGCAGCCATTATTAGTATGATTATGCATCACCAGTACCCCCTTCCCCCATCCCCAGTTCCTCTTTCACAATGTACAGTACCGTACAAGAAAAAATCATTCCACAATGGTTTTTATCAATCCAAAATTACATAGGTCAGCACCAGCGTTACATTACATCTGCAACACTCTATTGGAGGTCAGGTCAAACAGCTTGGCAGCATTTTCGTCTGTAAGCTTCACCATCGGAAACATCCTGCATTGCCCACTAATCGTTTTTCATCACCCAAAACCCGAGCCATTGCAGAATCATGTTATTAATATCGTGACTGCTGTTCACATGTTACTCAGGCGTTACATCCTTAGAACCCTATTGGAGGTCAGGTCAAACAGCTTAGCAGCATCTTCATCTGAAAGCTTCACTGTGGGAAACATCCTGCCTTGCCCCCATCCGTTATTCATCACTCTTGAAGCTGCCTTCTTGGCAGGGTCCCCCACCACCCGCGTCCCCTCCCCTCCTCCCAGCTCCTCCCTTTCAGGTAATCCCAAGGCTTTCCTTGCTTTCCTCCTCTCCCTCTCCTCCTGCTGCTCCTGTCGAAGCCATGCCTCGATCATTCTCTGCAACAAAGGGGGTAGTGGAGAACGGGGAAGGAAGAGACAAGGGGACAGCTGAGAATGACTCTCTTCACTCTCCTCACCACCCTTGAAGCTGCCTTCTTGGCCGGGTCACCCACGACCCGTGACCCCTCTCCTCCTCCCAGCTCCTGCCTCTCCAGTAGCCCCAAGGTTTTCCTTGCTTTCCTCCTCTCCCTCTCCTCCTGCTGTTCCTGACGAAGCCACGTTTCGATCATTCTCTGAAACCAAGGGGGTAGGGGAGAATGGGGAAGGGGGAGCATGGCGAAGGGAGTGAGAAGGAAACAGGTGAGAATCCCCCCCCATCCGTTATTCATCACCCTTGAAGCTGCCTTCTTGGCCGGGTCGCCCACGACCCGTGACGCCTCCCCTCCTCCCACCTAGTCCCTTTCGGGTAATCCCAAGGCTTTCCTTGCCTTCCTCCTCTCCCTCTCCTCCTGCTGCTCCTGCCGAAGCCACGCCTCGATCATTCGCTGCAAAAAGAGGAGTAAGAGAAATTGGGGAGATGCAAGTGAGAAGGTGAAAGGCAAGAAAATATTACATTGATTTAAGCTCCACCTCTGCTGATCATTTCTCCCTCCAACACTCTACTTGCTTTCCTCTTTTCCCTCTCCTGCTGCTCCTGTCAAAGCCACCCCTCTATCATTGTCTGACACAGGACAAACAGGTAACTGCATGCATCATCATCCGTGCAATGCATCTCATGCGATCCCCCCCGTGTTCATAGTGTAGTTTTGAGACGTCTCAAAACAACTTCTGTGGCTCGCTTGACATTCTTGAGACTCCCTCCCAACTCTCCAGTGTTCATGGCGTTAACCCATTTCTTCCAGATCTGTTTATGTTCAGACAGGCTCACCATAAGCGTGGTTGAGGCCAGCTCTGGGAACTCCGACAGCTGCTTGGTGAACTGCAGCCTGCCCTTTGCCACGTACGCCTGAAGAAGAGATTCAGAGGGGTACGGGGGAGTGCAGAGGGGCAGGCAAGGGCGCAGAGGGATGCAGAGGAGTGCAGAGGTGAGTGATCATCCATGAGAGTGGTGGAGGCCAGCTCTGGAGACTTCCGACAGCTGCTTGGTGAACTGCAGCCTGCCCTTTGCCACGTACGCCTGAAGGGAGGGAGAGACAAGGATGCAGAGGGGTACAGAGGGGTGGAGAGGAATACAATGGTTACTAAACAATCAGCGTGGTGGAGGACATCTCTGGGAACTCTGTCAGCGACTTGGTCAACTGCAGCTAGCTGTTCGCCACGTATGCCAGAGATACGGGAGGGAGGTGCAGAGGGGCGGAGAGGGGTGCAGAGGGATGAAGAGGGGTACAGAGGAAGGAGAGCTGAAGATACCAGCATGAGAGCAGTGGAGCCGGGCTGTGGGAACCATTGCCAGCCCGCCCAACCAGCATTCACCAACCAGCATTCACCAACCAGCATTCACCAACCAGCATTCACCAACCAGCATTCACCAACCAGCATTCACCAACCAGCATTCACCAACCAGCATTCACCAACCAGCATTCACCAACCAGCATTCACCAACCAGCATTCTCCAACCAGCATTCACCAACCAGCATTCACCAACCAGCATTCACCAACCAGCATTCACCAACCAGCATTCACCAACCAGCATTCACCAACCAGCATTCACCAACCAGCATTCACCAACCAGCATTCACCAACCAGCATTCACCAACCAGCATTCACCAACCAGCATTCACCAACCAGCATTCACCAACCAGCATTCACCAACCAGCATTCACCAACCAGCATTCACCAACCAGCATTCACCAACCAGCATTCACCAACCAGCATTCACCAACCAGCATTCACCAACCAGCATTCACCAACCAGCATTCACCAGCCGGCATTCACCAGCCGGCATTCACCAACCAGCATTCACCAACCAGCATTCATCAGCAGCTTGGGGATGGGAACCCATCAGCAGCAGCTGCCAGACCTTAGCTAGATACCCATAAAAGTGGACGAGATAGGGGTGTAAAGGGCCGCTTGCGGACCAATGGTATTCAGTCACAGAGAAAGAGCACCAAATCTGCAACACAGAGAATGCTTACGATGTGGGTGGGCCACGTCTGCAGCCCGTCAAAAATGTGTGTAGCATACACAATCGTTGCCCCCCTCTGCTCACACTCCTCCCTCAGAAACGACATGAGGTCCGCTCGGCCCAACACATCCAAATCCACTGTGATCTCGTCCAACAGGAGAACCTGCATTCATGGTTGGGTGCGGTGGGGAGGGGTGAGAGGAGCAGATGACTGGATCGGCCCGACCCAGCACGTCCAAATCCTCTGTAATCTCGTCCAAGATAAGAGCCTGCATGGTGTGGGCAGTGGGGGAAAGGATTCGGCACACTCAATCCACGCTCGCCCCTCTGTTCTCACTCCTCCCTCAGGAACGACATCAGGTCCGCTCAGCCCAACACATCCAAATCCACTGTGATCTCGTCCAAGAGAAGGACCTGCATGCAAGGGGGGGAGGGAAGGGGAGAAGAAAAGTGGGGGAGAGGAAAGCTGCTATCAACATCAGCTCGACCCAACAAGTCCAGATCCACTGTTATCTCGTCCAAGAGAAGAACCTGCATGCATGGTTGGGTGGAAGGAGGGGCAGAGGGAAAGGGGAAGCTGGGAAAGAGGGGGAAGAGGGGAGTAGGTCAATGCATCAGCTCCACCTTCCCCTCTTCCTTTGCTGATCGAAACCAACTAATTTCAACGGAAAGAGGGGAAAGGGGAAAGAGGGGGAAGAGGGGAGTAGGTAAATGCATCAGCTCCACCCAACATGTCCCCAGATCCCCGACGTTGCAGAATACTTTTGAGAACTCTCACAAATATTCAGATCCCGCGTCACAAATATCCATCTCCCGCGTTATTTCACCTGCGAGACCTCACACACCCCCACACGCCTTGAAAAGCTTAAACAACCCATTGCAATCTGCATGCGCCTCCTCAGTCCATCTGATACTTTTACATCCGCCACTCCAAGTCCATATCCAACACCTTGATCAACCTATCCCTACTCTCACCTTGAACTACCCCACACACACACCTACACAAGTATACACCTTCACCTGTGCGTCCCTTAAAAGGCTTTAACAACCCCATGGCGATTTGAACGCGCCTCCTCTGCCCATCTGACACCTTATGCATCCGCCACTCCAGGTCGATATTCAACACCTTGATCAGCCGCTCCCTCTCTCAACAAGTGTTACCCCACACCCACACACACCTTGAGGTCGATATCCCACACCCACACACACACCTTGAAGGGCTTCAGCAATCCCATTACGATCTGCACACGCCTCCTCTGTCCATCTGACATCTTATGCATCCGCCAATCCAAGTCGATATTCAACACCTTGATCAGCTGCTCCCTCCTCCCTCTCACCTTGAACTACCCCACCCCCACACACCTTGAATAGATTTATGTGCACACCTTGAAGGGCTTCAGCAATCCCATTGCAATCTGCACGCGTCTCCTCTGCCCGTCTGATACTTTGTGCATCCGCCACTCCAGGTCGATATCCAACACCTTGATCAGCCGCTCCCTCCTGGCAGGGTCTGCAGCAGCGCCGAATAGCATCTTTCTGGCCGATATATCCATCTGTAATGGCACGTCGAAACCAGCAAATGCCACATCCCTGCGCCACTGCAGGCAGAAACCAACGGTGGAAGGGAATGGAACACAAGTGTCAGCTGGAGGCAGCAGTAGTAGCGGTACTAAACTTTTTCTGGATTGAAAGGGTGGAGGGAGGGCAGGTACTGGCCTCGCTGCCAAGGTGCGTGAAAGCATTAGATGCGTACAGCCCAGTATCTTGGAAGGCAGAGCGAACTGACTTTTGAATCAACTCAAAAGTCAGTCAGCCCGCCAAGGTATGTGAGAGCACCAGACGCCTCCAGCCCGGTGTCGTGAAAGGGTGACTGGATGATAATGGAGTCAGAGAGGGATGATGGGGGAGGGGTACTGACCTCGCCACCCAGGTATGTGAGAGCACCAGACGCCTCCAGCCCGGTGTCGTGGAATGCAGAGCGGGCAAGTGTTACTGGAATTTCACACAAGGAAGTACTGGGAAAGCATAGGTACTGACCTCGCCACCAAGGTACGTGATAGTGAGAGCACCGGACGCCTCTAGCCCGGTATCGTGGAAGGCAGAGCGAGCAATTGTTGAGTGGGCTTTGAGGTTAAGGGTGGAGGGAAGGCAGAGCTACTGACCTCGCCGCCCAGGTATGTGAGAGCGCCAGACGCCTCGAGCCCGGTATCATGGAAGGCAGAACGGCCGAGCACGCGAACCATGGAGGGATCGACCATATGCTTTCCTCCCAGGATCTTGAGAATGGTGGTTTTGCCTGAAGGGATGGAACGGATGGATGGGGTGAAGGCGGTCAGAAGGGGAATCAACAAGCATGCACGCGAACCATGGAGGGATCGACCATGTGCTTGCCGCCCAGGATCTTAAGAATGGTAGTTTTGCCTGAAGGGGAGGAAGGGGAGGGGGTCAAGCGAGAAAATAAGACGAGACGCTTGGTGGGAGCAAGGAGAGTTGTAAAGGAGCGCCGGAGCTGTGGACGCTTGTCGCCTAAGAAACCATGATTACCGGGAAGCAGCGTGAATAAGAAACCGTTCCTGAGACAAATAGTTAAGTACAACTTCACATACCTGCGCCATTCGCGCCGACGAGGAGGCAGCGATCGCCGGGGTGCAGAGTGAAGGAGAACCTGAAACTTCAGCTTGAACCATAAGTTATCAAGGCACACTCACCTGCTCCGCTCGCGTCGACGAGAAGGCAGCGATCGCCGGGATGCAGCGGGAGGGAGAAGCCAAACACATGAGCTGACTCATAACATGATAACTTCACATACCTGCACCATTCGCGCCGACGAGGAGGCAGCGATCGCCGGGGTGCAGCGTGAGGAAGAAGCCAAAACTCTTTCCTGAGCCATAGTATATTGAAGCACACATACCTGCGCCATTCGCGCCGACGAGGAGGCAGCGATCGCCGGGGTGCAGCGTGAGGAAGAAGCCAAAACTCTTTCCTGAGCCATAGTATATTGAAGCACACATACCTGCGCCATTCGCGCCGACGAGGAGGCAGCGATCGCCGGGGTGCAGCGTGAGGGAGAAGCCGTCGATCAGCGGCTTGGCGCCGGGCGGCGGCTGGCCGTCGATTCCGGGATACGTGAACTGGAGGTTCGTGACCTCGATGTTCGGCGGGGGTTGCGCGGTTTCCGCGATTTCAGGGACGGACGGGGCCATGACAAGAACGCGACGCGATAGAATTGACGGTAAGCGGTTTATACGGGATTGGACTGGCGAGACGAGGAGTCGGGAATGACGAGAGACGAAGTGATAACGAGAAACGAAGCGATGAACGTGACGGTCTACGGTTAGCGAGGTGCAACGGAGTAAAGCGAAAGTACTAGCAAGAAGAGTATTGAGCAAGTCGGGACTCGAGATATACGCGGGAAGAGTGGTCAGCAGCAGATCAAGCCGACGAAGATGATCGAAGCAGAAGCTCTTGAGTACAAGCTGCGAAACGGTGGAGATGAAGTAAGCAAGCTCTCTTAGCGCTATAATGGAAGAATAGGACTTAGGAATTCCTGATTCCCGAGGCGTCCCAGCTCTGAAAAGGTTGAGTGATGGTCGAATCCCATGGTCACAGTTCCCTCCCACCGCACCAGTCTTGGGGGAAGCAGTAGCGCACCTCGTGGCTGGCTGCTGGCTGTCCACGTCTTGTGCGAACATATACAGTTTTTTGTTACTACTGATTGCCTGCCCGAAACAAAAGAACAGCATTTCATGCAGCCAGGGCACAGTCGGACAGGAGCTCTTGCGGGTAGAAAGTGAGCTTTGGCTGCCCAAATGGAAGAGGCGACGCGTCGTGTGACGTCGCAATTTGTCAACGAAAAGGCGTGGAAGACAGTCGACGACGACAATCATCGCGGGCTGGGCTGGCGACAGCCACGACACCAAATATTTCCACGGCCAACAAGTCAACACCATATCGACCCTGTCAGAAGGAAATACTGTAGCAGTAACACTGAGCGTAACTACGGCTGGTAACGAAAAATGACGAAACCCCTTGCCAAGCTGTCTGACAGCGCTGACGTGTATCCCCGCCACAATGTTCCCGCGCTTTCTGTCAGCGGAAGCTGAGCGCAAGGCTCACTCACTCTGTTCCCCGCGTCATCCCGTTCCTTTGGCGCGCGCGGACACGCAGCTCCGCAGAAACCTTTCCCGCCTGTCATACAAGATTTTCCTCCACATGTCAGCAGCCATTTCTTGATTTCTTGATCCATTCATCCTTATTCCAAGTAGTCTTAGAATCTAGATACTGCCAGTCTAACGAGCCCATATCAGAGACCTGCTTTGCCATCTATTACTACGCCTAGATTCCCTGCATCCATGGATGTAAGTTCTGTTTCCAGTTACTTCACTACCACGTTGCAGTCAGATTCCTTTTCCAATCTATTCGTTGCTCGTTATTCCGAATTAATTTCGCGGTAAGCTTCTCTAAATTGTCACCATGCGACGTTACGGATTTTTCTGATGCGATTCGTCAGCGCAACCTCGTCTAGTAGACGCTGGCTGTCGTCTCAAATTATCCTCCAGAATTACACGGTCTTCCATAATAAGTTACACGAAATTCTTACGTTTTCTTTTATCGTCCATCCTTTTTTATCAAATTGTTGCGTTTTCAGGATCCAGAGCTCGAGGCTATTCGCCAGAGGCGAATGAGGGAAATAATGGCGGCCCAGGGCGCACAGGTGCGTGCTTACAGACTCTGCACAGTGTGCACAGAAACACATTGTATACACGAGACGAATCGCACCAGGGAAGGAGCTCAAGCTGGAGAAGGCATGACTTGATTTTCACAGAGCTGATTTCGAGAATTTGCACATGAACGCATGTGATCACACGTGAATGCTCTTTTTGAAGGAATGTGGAGCTAGAGACATCATCCCAATGCTTCGCGTGTGGAAATTGTGTTGAGTCTAATCAGGCAGGGAGGGGAGCTGGAGCAGGGATACCGCCGGTTAAGAATCGCTTCATGGATTCATTCTTCTAGCAAGTTTGTTCATCCGTGCTTCCTGTGTGGGAATGGTGTTGAGACGTTTCAGGCAGGAAGGGGAGCTGGAGCAGGCATGCCATCTGCCGCCGCTGGTCAGCAGGATGAGTCAAAGAAACAGTAAGTAAGGCGAGTCACAGTCTAGGTAAGTAGGACGAGTCACAGTCTAGGTAAGTAGGACGAGTCTCAGTAGAGGTAAGTAGGACGAGTCACAGTATAGGTAAATAGGACGAGTCTCAGTATATGTAACCAAATTCATGGATTCATGAGTTCTTCACCTTTGTCGATTCGTTAGTTCGGACTGAAAGAAATCTCGTTGCTTGCGTCTGACTGCTTGTCGTTCTTGTGGCTGCAGGGAAGCTGAGGAGAGGAGACAGATGATGCTGGCCCAGCTGATGGACTCGAGTGCGAGAGAGCGATGTGAGTTTCATGATGTGGTGTTTGGTGTAGTGTGATGGAAACGAGCGTGACAAATGTGGATGTGACAGACCGTTGGATAAGTAACACGGGAGACTGATGATGCTAACCCTATGGACTCGAGTGCCAGACAGAGAGTGATGTGAGTTTGGTGGAATGTGACAGAGCCGAGAATGACAGGTGTGAACAGAAGAGATTGGTGCAGAAACCACAGAGGCAGATGGGGTTGTGGCCAATGCTGCTACCTCAGATGGTACAGTCAAGTGAACAGAACTGATTACTGTGATATTGAATCGAGGAGAATAAGGTGGAGATGTGGGGATGAACCTCGCCTTTCCTCTCACCCGCCCTTTCGCATCCCTTCTATCTCTGTGCGATCCCGCCTGATTAATTGATTCCTCCGCCCCCGTTGCTGCATTGGTTGGATTACCCAAACCCCCCCTGCATTCGTTCTCGCACTCTCCCCCTGCACTGGTACCCCCCCCCCACCCACTCCCCCTCCTGCAATGGTTCTGCCATCCCCCCTCCTGCGTTGGTCCCCCATCCCCCCTGCTGCATCGGCTTAATACCCCCCATCCTCCCCCTCTTCTCCAGCCCCCCACCCACGCAGTGGCACGCATTGCACTGGTGAGGCCTGAGAAGGAGTGGGCATTCTCAGCGGTAGAGATGTAAACTCCTCGTCTGTAACATCCCCTCTGCCCCCTCTGCCCCCTTCTGCCCCCCTATTGCCCCCTCTGCCCCCCTATGCCCCCCTCTGCCTCCCTATGCCCCCCTATGCCTCTCTGCCCGCTCTGCCCCATTCTACCTCCCTCTTCTCCACCCGAACACCCAGTGCCGCGCATTGCCCTAGTGAAGCCTGAGAAGGCGGGAGTGGAGGATTTAATCATCAGGGGGGCTGCGAAGTGCTTGTGCTTGTGTGAACAACCCCTCTGTCCCCGTCTGTCCCATCTCCAACACCCCTCCCTTGCAGTGGCGCGCATTGCCCTTGGTGAAGCCTGAGAAGGGCTGTGACGTGTTCCCCCTTCTGCCCCCTCCCCCCCCTTCAACCCTTACCATGCAGTGGCGCGCATTTCCCTGGTCAAGCCGGAGAAGGCACGAGCAATACTGCAGTACGGGTGCGAGACCCTCACATGACCACGCCCTCTCCCCCCTCTCTGTCCCCTTTCCCCCACCCACCCTTGCACTGGCGCGCATTACCCTGGTGAAGCCTGAGAAGGCGCGGGCAGTATGGCAACAGGGCTGTAACGTGTTCCCCCTTCTGCCCCCTCTGCCCCGTTTCCCCCGCCCACCCATGCAGTGGCGCGCATTGCCCTGGTGAAGCCCGAGAAGGCGCGGGCAGTGGAGGGCTTGATCCTCAGGGGGGCTGTGAATCGCTTGTGCTTGTGTGAACAACCCCTCTCCCCATCTGCTCCCATCTCCAACACCCCCACCCGCTTGCGCAGTGGCGCGCATTGCTCTGGTGAAGCCTGAGAAGGCGCGGGCAGTGGAGGATTTGATCATCCGAGGGGCGCAGACAGGGCAGCTGGCGGAGAGGGTGAGTTGTGACTGTAGAGGGTGTGACTTTGATGGGTGTGTGTGACTGCAACGGGTGAATGTGACTGTAGCGAATATTGGTTAATTCGTAGAGCAGTGGAGGAACAGATAATAAGAGGGGTGCAGACAGGGCAGATGGCGGAGAGGGTGAGTGTGAATGTAGTGGGTGTGTTGTAGTGAGTGTGACTGATAGGATGTTTTGTAATGAAGGCCACACAGCAATCGTTTGAGGGGCGTGGACGCGACATCTGGTGGAGAGAGTGGATGACTGCGGAATGTGCCAGTAGTAGTTAGGTGTGATAATAGTGAATCAATTTGAGATTGATAGTCATTCGTTAGTGGAGGGTATAAAGGGGGAGCAAACAGGGAAACTGGCATAGAGGATGAGTGTGACTGTGACGAGACTGATGCAAGTGCGACTGTACTGAGTGAAGGCAAGTAGCTGTTGGGGAGAGGATAACTCAATGGTTGCAGGCATGACAGCTGACAGAGACGATAATTGTAAGCAAGCTGATTGAAGGTGTGTGAGAGTAAGGGTTTGTGGTAGTGGACTACATGGGTATGTGAGGATCATATACATACAGTGTGAGAGTAAGGGGGTGTGGCAATGGAGAGTATGGGTGTAAGACGATTACTAGAGGAAAGTTGGTGACGAAGGTGGCCGTGATTGTAGTGAAGGGCAGCTCTATTCGTTGCCCCCATCCCTTTCCCTCTCCATCCCCGCTTCTTACGTGCCCCCCCTCTGCGCCTGTCCATCTACTCTCTGCCTGGCTTGCCTTCTCCCCTGCCCACTTCATTCTTCTCTTAAACCCAAACCCCTCATTGCTTTTGCTGCCCCCATCCCTATTGCTCTCCGTTTCCTCCTATTCTGACACCAGCCGTTTTGCTCAAAGCCTAGCGGTATACTGTCCGATGCTCCTCATATACCTACGTCAGCACTAAGCTCATCACGTTTCATACATGCACTGTACCATGCGTAATTGTGTGCGTGTATGTGTGTGCCTGCATGCGTGCATGTGTGTTTGTGTGACGATCAGGTGACAGAGTCTCGCCTGATTACTCTCTTGGAGCAGATCAATGAGCAAACACAACAACGTACCAAAGTCACGGTTAGTGTAACCTATTGATAAAAAGACATGATGTTCTCCAATTTCCATCATTCTTTCGTTTGCTAACTATTCTCTCCCACTCCCCCTCTTTTGCCAATATTGTTGATGCTGCCGCAGATACAAAGGCG